AACACACACGCACTCACCACCACCCCCTCCCTCCCTGAAAAAGTCCAGGGTGTGCGCGCACACACGCTTGTGCGCACACACGCACACACATCTTGCACCTCCAGCGTGCAAACAGGTTCTGAGCACACACAGCTGGCAGCTGCAAGCACATCGTTTGCAAAGTGCTTGCAAAACCCCCCCCCTCCCCAAATCCCCTTCCCAAAACACCCCCCTGGCACCACGCGGCAGCCACCGGCACCGGCCACGCCACCGTTTGCCATCGTTCCACCCAACACCTACCCACAAGGTTATACAAACACACTGCCAAGCACACACGGCCTCGCGCACGCTTGCCTCACACGCACACAGCCCCGTGGGGGCACACCCACAAACCACACAGGCTCACCCATCTGCTCACACGCGCACGCGCGCTGGCAAAAAAGAGGAGCTGCCTTCTTCCCGTTGCATTCTCCCTCCATTAACTTCTCCAACAGATTCCTGCCGCTCAGCCCGGCGCCCACCTGCTGCAACGGGCACCCACCTGCTGCAGCTCCTCCGTGCCGAACCGGGTGCCGCTGCAGCAGGAAGGCTGCATGGAGGAAGCCGTGCTGCTTTCAGGACGCACAGCGGGCAACTCGTTAGGGGACACGGAGGGCAGCCAGGCGTTGGCACCCGCCATGCAAAGCAGGCACTGGGATGGGGCAGAAGGAAGGCGCCCCGGCCATTAGCGCAGCTGGGAGCCGGCGCGGCGATCTGCCGGGCCTTGGGGCAAAGGGCAAGGCAGGGGTGGAAGAGCAAGGATGGAGGCGAGCAGATAAACACGCCGGGAGACGATGAGCCGGGAGATGGGCGAGACGCAGAGGCCGTGACCTCACCCTGCGGAGCGGGAGAGGCGGCAGCACGCCTTGGCCGGGCTCCCCGGGTAGAAGCGGACGGTTGGGTTAGCAAAACCCTCTGCAACTGACGAATAACGCAAGAGCTGCTGTGTGGGTAAACTGAAGCACGGCGAGGTGAGCAGCGCGATGCTACAGTTGCTCAGCCATTTGTGTCCCCATGCCCTACCACCACGCTGTCCCCTTGCCCCTCGCACTTTGACACGGGGTTTTGGAGGCCTTGGTGACATTGCAGGACACTGGGAGCCAGACCCAAGCACAACACTCAGCCCCAAAGGCAACACCACGGCCTGAGCCCCACGCTGGGATCTGAGTACAGCACTGAGCCCTGAGCCCTACACCAGGGTCTGAGTACAGCACTGAGCCCTAAAACTCACACTGGGGTGTCTGAGCACAACACTGAGCCCTCAGCCCCACACTGGGGTCTGAGCACAGTGCTGAGCCCTAAGCCCCAAACCTTAAGCCATACACTGGGGTCTGAGCACACTGCCATACCCTGAGCCCCACAATGGGGTCTGAGCACAGTGCTGAGCCCCACGCTGGGCTCAGCGCCCCGCACCCAGCCCTAAACCCACCACCCAGCCCCACCACCACCACGACCCTCTAACCCAAACCACGCAGCACCCACGACCCCCCCACATCGCACCCACCCATCGGGACCCCCCCCACGCCCATTCTCCGAGCCTTCCCATCGCAGCCCCGAGGCTCCCACTCAACCTCACCCCCTCCCCTCCCTCCCCATCCCGGGGCGGCTCTGCCCGAAGCGGGGTCCCGTCGGCACTCACCCAGCGGCCGCGCCGTCCAACGAGAGCCGCGCTCCTCCATGGGCTGCGCGCTGCCCGTGCGTGTGTGTGTGTGCGGAGCCGAGCAGAGCAGAGCAGAGCCGTGCCTCCCCCGCCGCTTCCTGCTTCCCTCGGCGCCCGCCCGCCGCCCCGGGAGCCGCACGGCTGGAGCGTGACTCACCGGGGGCCGGGCCGGGCAGGGCAGGGCCCGAGGGGGCGGGAGGGGGGAGGCCCCGGCTGGCACTGAACGGCGGCCACGTAGGGGGGTGGGGGCACAGCCGGGGGAACGGAGCCCCCCCTAGGGGTGGGCAGCACCGGAGGGGATGGGAACCCCCCGTTTGGGGTGGGAGGAGGGATGTGAAAATGGGAAGGGAGCAGAGTGTAAAGGGGGGTCCGTGTGTCATATTGAGTGGCCATCACATCAGCGGTACCCAACACGTTGGTGGTCCCCCATATCGTGTTGGTAGTGCTCATCACATTAGTGGTACCCGACACATCAGTGGTACCCATCACATTGGTGGTCCCAATGTCATACTGGGGGTACCCAACTCATCAGAGGTATCCAACACATCAGTGGTACCCATCACATTGGTGGTCCCAATGTCATACTGGGGGTACCCAACACCTCGGTGGTACCCAACACATCAGTGGTACCCATCACATTGGGTAGTCCCAATGTCATACTGGGGGTACCCAACACATCGGTGGTACCCAACACATCAGTGGTACCCATCACATTGGTGGCCCTATATCGTATTGGGGGTACCCAACACATCAGTGGTACCCATCACAGTGGTGGTCTCCCACATCATGTTGGCAGAGCCCATCACATTAGTGGTACCCAATACATCAGTGATACCCATCACATTGGTGGTCCCCATATTGTATTGGGGGTACCCAACACATCAGTGGTATTCATCACATTGGTGGTCCCCATATCATACTGAGGGTACCCAACCACCAGTGCTACCTAACACATCGGTGATGCCCATCACAATGATGCTCCCCTGTATCATGTTGGTAGTGCCCATCATATTAGTGATACCCATCACACTGGTGGTCCCCGTTGTCATACTGGAGGTACCCATCACATCTGTGGTGCCCATCACATCAGTGGTCACCATATCATATTGGTAGTGCCCATCACATTGGTGGTACCCAACACACTGGTGGTAACATCATGTTGGTGGTCCCCATATCATGATGGTAGTGCCCACCATATTGATGGTATCCAACACAATGGTGGTCCCCATATGATATTGGTGCTACCCAACACATTGGTGGTACCCATATCACATTGGTGGTCCCCATATCATATTGGTGGCATCCAACACATCAGTGGTGCTCATTACATCAGTGGTCACCATATCATATTGGTGGTACCCAACACACCGGTGGTGCCCATCACAATGGCTTTCCCCCATATCATGTTGGTACAGCTCATCACACCAGTGGTATCCATCACATCAGTGGTACCATCACATTGGTGGTCACCATATCACACTGGGGGGTATCCAATACATCGGTGGCACCCAACACATTGCTGGAACCATCACATTGGTGGTCCCCATATCATACTGGGGGTACTCATCACATCTGTGGTGCCCATTACATCAATGGTCACCATATCATATTGGTAGTGCCCAACACACTGGTGGTAGCATCACATTGGTGGTCCCCACATCATGATGGTAGTGCCCACCATATTGATGGTATCCAACACAATGGTGGTCCCCATATCATGTTAGTGGTACCCACCACATCAGTGGTGCCCATCACATCGGTGGTGCCCATCACAGTGGCGGTGCCCACCATGTCAGTGAAGCCCACCACCTCTCTTAGCACTTTCTCCCATCTCCTTTTTCCTGTTCTATTTTAAATTTTTATAGCATTCTTTTTAAGGAATACGGAGGAACAAATGCACTTATCAGCAATTCTCACAAGGTATAAAGAGTCGCTTTTATCTCACTGCCTTTACTAATCTAGAGCGAGCCGATGCCTGTTAATTTTTTAATTTTCCTAGTGAATGCGTTTGTGGCTTTGTCAGCATCCATATACACATGCACACATAAACCCACTCTATCGGCACATGCAAGTTCCCAAAAATGGCCTGGGTGTGGGGAACATCCACTCCCACTTTGCACTTCCCATTGTCAGATCCCTGTTTCCCAGTCCCTCTCACTTTGTCAAACCCAAATAATTCGGGCAGGTGGGTTTAATGTCCCCGTGGGGCTGTCACCTGCATCCTACGCCAGTGGCCAGGAACGCTTGGGCTCTGCGCTCATTGCTGGTGGCACCGGGAGGGGACCGCGGTGACGAGCACAGCTCTGCTTTTGCAACCACAAAGCAGTTTCATCTACGTTGTAAAGTGCTATGTGTCACACGAAGCTCACCAGGACACCCTGGGACATGCCACCACCTGGGGACACGGCAGTGCTTTGCGGACACAGAGCAGACAGGAGTGGCTGAGGATTCCTGCACCGATATGTCACTGCCACCACAGCACTGGGGCACAGGGGGGGTCCATCCCCGTCCCCACCGGGCAGGCAGGGCGAGTGCAGGCTGCCCACACGCCGAGCCTGAGGCTGGGAACGCCAGCACCCGGCCACAGCGTGCAGATGAGATGTGGCAGGCGTGTAACAAGCCATTAGTCACTGTCACCTTTGCCCGGCAGCCACTGGCAGGGTAATAAATCCAACGCTGACTCCAGCAGGCCCGTTCCAGGCCACAGCTCCCAGCTTGCCTCCATGCGCCGGGCTGTGAGCAGCTTGCAAATGCAGCCTGTACCCTCTGGGGACGCAGCGCTGGGGCTGCTGCACGGCTGTCCCTGGCCCCCTCCAGTGCTTGAGGCTGGGCTGGGAGCACAGCATCCCCCCGGGATTCCTGGGGTTGGCTCCCTGCCTGCTGCACCAGGCTGTCCCCAGCGCTGGGAGATGGCATTGGTGGTGGCTGCCTGATCAAATCAGCACGGCACGGTGCGGCAGGGCACGGCATGGCACAGCATGGCCTGTCTGGACAGCCCAGCAAACCAGTCCTGGGAGGCGGCAGGCGGGAAGCACGCATCGTGATGCCTCTCCCAAAAATGCTGCAGCTCCTGACGGACGAGGCAGCCGAGTCCTAGGAGCTGCAGCCCTGCCCAGCCCTGTGGGTCCCCCCTGGCCCCCAGCATGTCCTGCCCAACGCTGCGGCTCTCCATGGCGCCCGTGGCCTGACTCACTGCCCCCGGGGACAGCGGTGCCGCTGGGTCACCTCCCCATCTTCTCATACCCAAAACCACCGGGTGTACTCCCGCTGTTGCCAACAGGGGACAGCCCCTGGGGACCCACCACAGCACCGCAGCACCTACTTGTGGCTCCAGCGTCCGTTCCCTCTGCATCCAAAGCCGTCCGCTGGTTGCGCTCAGGGCCGATGTCCGTCCCTGGGTTCTCCCTGGTGCTCAGCACCCGGTGCCGGGGCTCAGTGCCTTGCTTTGCAGCGTGCGTCTCGAGGGTAGACGATGACACCTGGAAGAAAAGCAGCACAGAGGGACTCAGCGCCTTCTCCCGCTCCCCACCCCAAAAGCAGAGGGCCAAGCGGGGGCACAGACACGCACACAGGATGCTTTTGTTTTGCTGCCGGCAGATGCACGTGGCCGGTGCGGGGCTGCAGCTGGATCCGGGCACTGCTTCCAGCACAGCCAGACAAGAAAGGCTCTAGGGGGAAAGGGCGGGGGTGGGGGGGGCCATGAATCAAAGCGGCGTCCCCTCGCCGGCGAGCAGCAGCTGGCTGGGTCGGCTGCTACCGATTACTCAACCGGGCAGTGTTTACTCGAGATCAACAATTCCCCCTTGCCTTTCCTGCTGGCTCCGGGCAGGCGAATATACCGCACGGTGGGGATGGGCTTTCCACACCCCGACTGCCAAGCAGATTTTGTAGCCCTTAGAAAGGGAGATATGTTGCTTTTTAGCTCTCTTTAGGGCTGCCCGTGCCCACACTTGGCTCGCTGGTCGTGCCCATGCCCAAACCACCCAGCTCCCCGCAGCTCCCAGCCCACGGCAGTTGGATCTGTCACCCTCCTGCTCAGCGTGCACACAGAGCACAGCTCGTGCTGTCAGCAGCGCTGTTCATCTTTCATCAAGTGACAGCAAGGAGGCAGAGCATCCCAGCCCCAAGACGGACGCGGCACGGTTATTTTTGCCTCTGGAAGAGATGCACGAACAAAACATCCCTGGGATGTATGCACAGCATCTACAAAGCAGTCCCCAGGATGTTGCATCCGTGCAGCTGCAACAAAGCGCCCTGGGATGCTGCATCCAACAAAAACATCCCCGGGATGCTGCATCAGTGCAGCCCTGCAGCGCAGGGACCCCCCACTCCCCATCCAGGGACTGGGGTTGCAGAAGGAAAGGGTTGACATTGATCCAGTTCTTCTCGGGATTAGTCCTATAAACCTGGAGAGCCTAAGTGAGATGGATGGCACATGAATTTTGCTGGGAAGCCCTCAGACTCAATGAGCCACACATGCGAGCAGCCGTATAAATTTACCGCTCGCTTCCTGGAAAGGTTTAATTTATGGAATCCATATGGCAGCGCCGCGCAACCGCGAGCACTCGGCGCATCCCGTGAGCCCTCAAGTGGCTCCAATTGGCAGAGTGCCACCCTGGCCACCACCACACGGCTGTGGGGTGCTCCTTTCCACCCCACAGAAGCAGATGGCAGTGCCAATGCTGGAAGCACAGCCCCAGGGTGCAGCCCCAGCAATCCCCTACCTATGGGCAAGGGAAAGGGTTGGGGCGCGTGTTGATACCTACAGCAACTCGTCATTAATTAGCATTAATCAGCCCTGGCCGCGTGTCACAGCAGCACTGAGCAATGCGCAATGGGGGAGCAACAGATACGGGTTCAGCTGGGCAGCCCCAATCCCTTCTTTTCCTGCAGGGGGTGTTGAGATGCAAAGAGATGCAGATGGGTTCTGCCAGGCAACCAGGACCCCCAGTTGGGGTCTGTGCCCCCCTAGGTCCAGCAGGGAGGAGCCAGAGCCCCCGATGTGAGCAAGTATGGAGCACACGGGCCTCCCCCATGCTTTAAGTTCACCCCGTGCTATCTGTCAGCAAATCATCCCCGGTTACACAGATAAGGAATAATTGATGCAAAGGAGCCATCTGTTTGCGAACATGGAATATCTGCTCAATTAGGAGGGATCTGTCCACCCAGATAAAGCATCCTCAGAGGGGGGCCGTGTCCTCAAAGCCTCACTCCCAATTAGGGCTGAGCCGGGTGCTCCCCTGTTTGCAGCACCCCGAGGTGCCAGGCAAGGTGAGAGCACAAAATCCCAAATACCTGACCCGGGAGGTGATCCCATAACACAGAGCAGCCGTGCCACAGCCCCAGGCCGGCGGCGAGGTGACATCGACGTGACATTGCTACGTGATGTTATTAACACAGAAAGAATTGAGCTGTCAGGCAGGCGGCGGCCGCTCGCCCTGAGCAATCACTGCCCTATTAATACCTGCCCAGGGGAGAGGGGCAGGCATCAGGGCAGGAGGCAAAAGGGGGGAGAAAAGGCTCAAAGCAGAGCCAGGGGAGCGACGTTCAGTGCTGGATGCAGTATGCCTGCATCCCCCCTTCCCACACACCGGCCAAGGACTCACTGCTTCTGCACCCATCATTAGGTACCCACAGGCTTTGGGATGGTTGTTGGGATGGGAAAGCAAAGGGCACGTGTCCACAGGTCCCATAGCCTAGGAAAGCAGAGGGTTTTCCCCTAAAAGCACAGCCTTGCTGCACAGTCTCCCCATGGGGGAGGGACACGGCAAGGCACCATGGTGCCCACCAGCCCCCGCTGCTGTGTTTCAAGTTTCTGAGCCGTGTTTGCTTGCAGAAAGTTGGAACCTGCAATTACAACCATGATAACCCGTAATTAAAAAGAGGAAGGAGAAAAATAAATTAAAAAAAAAAAAAAAAAAAAGAAACAAAAAGCTCCAGAGGGAGCTGATGGCATTAACCCTTCTCGTGTTGAGGATGTACCCAAGCCAGGTGGCCCCCACACACCGGCACTGCTGGGATGCAGGGAACATGGGGTGATGCTGAGCATCCCAACAGCGGTCAGCATCCCTCCCACCACACCCCCATGTCATTGGCACCCTGCGTGGCACGGCATGGCGCCCGCGTGGGCACGGCGGCGGCTGCACCGTGTGTCACCACGGGGCTGTGGTTACCACCAGGATCCCACACAATCTGCTCTTGTTCACCCTGCAGGACCCCGAAGAACACAGCCTGACCCCAGTGCCCACCTCCATCCCATGGGACCCCACGGCGTGTCCCTGCGGTGTGCCCCCCCCTCCCGTCCTGGTGACATGATCTCACCCGACGTCACCGCAGCGATGGTGACAGTGAGCTAACAGGCAGCAATTTGGGTTATACATAGTCCCAAAGCAACAGCGGCTAATTGCCCCAGCACACAGTGGGGTCAGGGCATTGGGGGGGGAAGGATGGGAGCCCGGCATGTGCTCAGCCCCCACCCCAGGGCATCACTCAAGGCTGGGGGGGGGGGTGCAAGCATCGCCCCATCCCTCCCCTAGCTATTCTAGCCCGGCTTTGTGCCCAACCCTAAGCGGCTTTACCTAAAGCTGCCGTCCCAGCCTGTCCCAGCCAACGGCCCTAAGGAGCTTTCATCCCCTCATTAAGGGGTTTGGGGCCGAGGGGCGCAGCACCCAGCACACACCCTCCCCCCCCCTCCTCCCCTCTACCCCCAACCAGCTGCTTGGGGACACAGGGCGGGCGGAGGGGGGTCCCATTGTGGCAGCCCCCAGCCCTGCACGGCAGCTGCCAGGCGAGGTGGCGGGCGCGCAGATGCGGCTCCGCGCAGCCTAAATTGTTTGCCAGCTTCCTCGGGGCAGCACAATGGGGGCCGCGCAGGCGGATCCGGGGTCAGGGGTGAGAACAGCAATAAGTGGTTTATGCCTTTTGTGAAGAGGCTGAACTGACAGCTCAGTGGATTAACAAAGACGTCCTCTGTTCCCGGGCAGGTCATGTGGAAAGCACTGAGACGACCCCTGTCACTTCTTTTTTTTGCAAGAACAGACATTTGTTCACGAGCGAGCGGGGAGGTGATGGAGGGGGAGGCAAAGGGGGGGGTGGCCGCCCGCTGCAGGCTTCCTCCAGCCCTGCTGCTGCTGCTGCTGCCTGCCCTGGCCAAGCCCCGTCCCTTCCACGGCCCCGATTTCCTCGGTTTTCTCAGGTCACGGGATTTGCCATTTGGCAGAGATGCTGCTGCTGCAACCCCACTGCACCTCGAGCTGTACATGGAAGCTGGGAGCCCGGTGCAGCCCCGACCACGAGGGGACACAGCTCTGTCAGTTCTCTCTACCCAAGGAAACTGAGGCAAGGACACCACCACCACCACTCCCAGCACCAGCAGCAGAGCCGTGTGCATGGGGACGCTCAGTCCCATCAAACCCACAAGGAAGTCCCCAAGGCTGTGCTGCACACTGATCTCACGGCCATCATCAGGCTTCAAAAAGAACAGATGAAATAGGGCCGATCCTCCCTGGGCACTCCGCTCACCCCCAGCTGTCCCTGCAGCTTCCATCTTGCCCTGAGTACAACCTGAGGCTCCAGGGGGGACCCAAACTCTGCATCCACCCACTCCGTGCAGGGCAGAAACCCTTCGGGAAGTTCTGCTGCTCTGCTCACTCCCACCCTCCTCATCACAGGCACACCACAGGGACACGGCAGCACTGTACTCACCCACCTCTGCCTGCAGTGCTGTCCCATCCCCGCAGGCACAGGACACTCCCCAACGCACTATATACCTGCCCATGCTGCCCAAAGGGGCTTTTCACCCTGGAAAACCCCTCCTGCCCCACAGCAGCTCATGTTTTTGGGACATTCCCAAAAAACACACCAATCCCATTGCACACAGGCATGGCATCCTGATCAAACCTCCCCAGGGACAATGGGGCGTTGGGGTGGCTTTGGGCACATGGCAGCATCCCAGCACCATCCAGTAGGACCTCATTAGGACACCACTGAGACACCAAATGGGGGCACCTCTCCTGGTGTCCTGGGGGGAACACAGGCAGGGCAGGATGCCCACAGATCCCAGTGGGTGCCATGCAGCCGTGCCCAGGGGCCACACCATCAGCAGTAAAGACTCAGTGCCCCCTATCCTCCATTCTCATCCGGCTGCACTGCTCAACCTGCTGTTCCCAGCTCCCTCCTGCCATCTAAAGACAGACTTACAGCGAGCTGCACATTAAACACACACCATCTGCAAGGGAGACCTGAAGGCAAGCTAACACCTGTGGTGTGCCCTCAGCACAGCATCGAGCACCTCAGTGCACACCCAGCCCCTGGGTAGGGCTCTGCAGGCACCCAGTCCCCTGCTGTCCCCAGTTATAGAGGACTGGAGAGCAGCAAGCAGGAGGAATGAAGGGCAGGGAGGAGGGATTCTGCCCCAAAAGCAGGCAGGGAGGATGGGGGAAGCCCAGGGCAAAGGGTCCCCATTAGGGTGCATGGGGGC